AGCAATGCACCCTTACCTAGCCATGTAAAACCCCATCTGTGTACTGCAATTAGGGACGGTGCTCTCAGGCGCTCCAGAAACCAGCTCCTTAAGAGCGAATGTCCAGATGCTGCTCCTAAGCCTGATGTGTTAGGACAGAAACCAGGAGTTGGGAATGTCTTACACATGGTGACCTCTGGAACAGGGCCACCAACATGGCAATCCACCCTTGCACTGCCACCATCTGGATACTGTCAGAGCTAATGAGTGGGGATAGCTTAAAAAAGATATTCCTGAGCTCTGGGTTTGTGTTTCCTCCTTGCATCTAAATGCAGCAGGAGCTTGGAGCTCCAGTGCATGGGTCTTGCAGGTGAAGGGGGCCTGGTGGCATTTCTTGCCTCTTGGAGGAGTGTCTCTGCGGTTGCTGAGCTCAGAGCTTGCTGGGAGATGGGAAGATACTGCACAGTAGTATCTCATCCCGTGGAGCAGGGACTTCCTGGTTGGCCCTGTGCTTCTAGTGGCAAATTTAACCTTAGATTTTTGGAACAGTGCTGTTCCATGCACTAGTACACTGTGCATCTGTACCGGACTTCATGTATCAGGAGGAAGGATTGCTGCATCTCCCCACAGGAATCTTCAAAGGCTTAAAAAGGCAGCTAGCAAGGGGCTCCTCCCTGCTGATACTGTGTAGGAGGATTTCACCACAGCCCAGTGTGAATGGAATGTTGCTACCTGTTTCCACGCTCTCCACGTCTGCAGACATGTAGTTACGCCAGACATCAGACAAAAAAAGAAGAGTTTCCCAACTGCAGATTTGATGCTCAATTACAGAATGGAGCATGACATCTACTTTATGGGTTTAACAGCTGTAGCAACCAAGATTTCTAATGACACGTTCAGCAATGCATCACATAAGGAAACTAATCTGACAGCGCCAGGTCACTGAGCCAACTTACAAGTTTTTAAGTGTGTTTATGCTGCCAAATTTGCTGCCCTATTTACTGGACTAAAGTGAACAATTTGCACTGTGTTTATAAAACTCCGTACTTGCCTCTGTTTTGGCAGCTCTCAGATTCTTTTTCCCTGTTGTGCTGTTATTCTGGGAACCATTTGGTTCTTCTTCTTTCCCCATCCTCTCTGAAAACCCTTTGAAGCATTTCCCACAGCATGTATCCCAAAAGGGGGTACACCATAGGATAGGGAAGAGGAGGGACTGTAGCTGGGAGGAGGTGCTGTGGACACAGGCAGAGATGTGGGATGGAGCAACTGGGAGAAGGGCCCACAGCCGTCTGGAAGATGCTGGTTGCCCACGGGCAGAGGGAGACTGTGGCTGTGGCTGCTCACTGCCTTTAGGCAGGAATTTGTATCCCAGTCACTTGCAAAGATTGGGATCACTGTTACTTCTCCCTAGACTCAGAATTACAGCTGACAGCAGGAAAGTCAGTCCTGAAAAGCGTGAAACATGAAGACTGTACCCTGGGGCTGGATCCAGGCCCACTTCAGAGCCACCTGAGCAGTAACCTTCTAATCTCTCATCTTGCCAGTGGGCTGTGTGCTTCCACATTTTCCATCCTCACAGCACAGTCATCCACTGCCCAGACACAGGCGGATGGATAGCAAAGGATGGCTCTCATCAGGGGTAAATGGGCTAGTTCTCCTAGAGGTTCATTACTCAGAGATGCATTCTCATTATCCCTGCAGCTCATCCAGGAGTCCAGTCCAGCAAGCTTTAAATCCATTCCCACAAACCCTTTCTGTGGGACCAGTGAAGAACAATTAAGAACAAGTGTTTTGCCAGGTCTAAATTCACTGCAGAGAGCGCAGCACTTCCACTGACAAATACTCAAGGTCTGCAAATCAGAGGAGGCAGAGAATGCCCTAGGTATCCTTTTAAGACAGGGGGGGGAGATACCTCTTTGTTTTTACAAACATTGATATGAAACAAGGTCTTGTAAACAAATAATGTAATGTGTGACCCTTTTATTAATGCGTTAACATCTGTAATACAGCAGCATGTGCTGCAGTTTATTTTTACCTTTATTGGTATTCTAATGAACATTGCAAATATATTTATCAACAGGTAATTTAATTGCTCTTTTCCAGAAAATACACTGCCCAAAATAATCAGTTATTGTCAAAAGACAGTAATATTTGAGGCAGAAACATGCTGAAAAAATATTCTTAAGAGGCAAGACCATTCACTGTTTTAACCTCCAAGTGAGACACTTCCTAACTGGTGTTAGGAAGAAATAACTCTGTCATTTCTGCTCCTACTTCTCTTTGAATTCCCTATTTCTGTTTTTTGTTTTAGAAACACAGGAAAAACATGTCAAGAGAGATCTGGAGCCTCATGTCCGACTCCACACCACCACAGACAATCACATCACATTTTCTAGTTCCATCTTGAAACGAGTTAGTTTTATTCCCCCCTCCCTCCCTCCTGCAATGTTCTGAATTCATAATTACCTCATGGGACAAAAAGACAGTCCCATGAGCTTGCCTTGAACCCTATCCTTGTGTCAATGTTATCCTTTAATTTTAAATGGCTCTTTTTATTTCCTGTTATTTATCCCAATGGTGCACTACTAGAGAAAAATAAACAAACAAACTAACCCACCCATATTCCTGCTCAGTTTTAGCTTTGTTAATGAAACAAGGCAAGTCTGTTAGTGTTTGCTTGGCAAAGAGGAGCTTTTCAGTTTCCTCTTATAAGGTCAGCTCTTCCCTCTGTGTGTGCAGGTTTTCATTCATTTTTTTTCACTGTGTATGACCAGTGTAGCAGATGCATTGGGATTTTTTTCCTTCAGTGCTTTGTAATGCCCTTTCTCCTCAATGCTTTGTAAATACTTTTTTAGCTATACTAGAACTACGTCAACTGTGCTGTCCTAGGATAAGCTTTGCCTTTCTTACAGCCCCCTTATACCTAGTCCCAATTATCCTACAGAAAGCAAATACCCCAGGTCCTTTCTGCCCCCTTTTGCTGAAACACTGGAGGGTTTATAGAAGAAATTGTAGCTTTTTATTAAACTGATGTTTATTATTTGGTATCTCCAAGTTACGCATTGCTTCCCATCTTAACAGTTCCATCTTCCTCCATGTCCCCAGTGCCTCCCACAGCCCATCACCTGTGTGTTCAGCAGCACGTTGTGTTTCAACGCTATTGCTGCATCCTTGGTAAGCGCATCCTTGTACTTTCTGTATGAACTCCTACTCTGGCTGTTTCTGATGGAGCACCATGGTCAAACCCTTCAGCAGAGCCTGGAAATTTTGGGTCTATGCTGATGGCTGTTCTGCACAAGACAAGGTACCATTGGGGAAACCTGTTGTTATTTCAGCCTGCTTTTCATTGTAGTCCACTTCCCTGCCTTACAAAGTCACAGGATGTTTGGGGTTGGAAGGGACCTCTGGAGATCACCAGGTCCAACCTCCTGCCAAGGCAGGGCCACCTATAGAAGGTTACACAGGAACACATCCATGGTGAGGTTTGAATGTCTCCAGAGAGGGAGACTCCACAACCCCCTCGGCAGCCTGTGCCAGGGCTCTGCCACCCTCAGTGTAAAGAAGTTCTTCCTCATGTTGAGGTCATTGCTCCTCATCCTGTTGCTGGCACAACTGAAGAGTCTGGCACCATCCTGCTGGCACCCACCTCTGAGATACTGATCTGCACTGATGAGATGCCCTCTCAGTCTGCTCTTCCCTAACTAACTAGACCCAGCTCCCATAGTGTCTCCTCATAGGTGAAATGCTCCAGATCCCTCATCATCCCTGTGGCTCTCTACTGGACCCTCTCCAGTAGCTCCTTGTCTTTCTTGTCCTGAGGAGTCCAGCACTGGACACAGCACTCCAGATGTGGCCTCTCCAGCGCCGAGTAGAGGGGGAGCATCACCTCCCTCGACCTGCTGCTGCCGCACTCCTCCCGATGTACCTCAGGGTACTGTTGTCCCCCGTAGCAGCAAGGGCACACTGCCGGCTCAGTCAACTTGACATCCACCGACACTCCCAGCTACATTGCTTTCCCTTTCCGCGTGCAGTCCGATATGGGGGGGGTTAGGAGGAGGAGGAGGTGAAAACAGCCACCCCAGACCGAACTCCACCGGGTTCCCGGGCCGAGCACCCGAACGGTGGTGGGAAGCCTGAGACCCCGATACCTTGAGGGAGGGGAACCCCGATGCTTGAAGGAAACAACACCGCGACCGTTACTGGCGCTGCAACCGCTCCGCCCGCCGGTTACCTCACGGCGGAGAAGGGCGGGGCGCGGTGCGGGGCGGAGATAAAGGGCGGCAGCGGAGCGTGAGGGGTGCGTGCGGGAGGCTGGCGCGGTCACTCGGGGTGCGCGGCGCGGCTGTGCTGACCGGTGAGGAGCGGGGACGGGACGGGACGTGGCGTGGCGGCTCCTCGGGTCCTGGCTCCGCTGATTAGCGGGTTCTCCTCGGTACAAGTGGTCGGTGATGCTAAAAGAGGTTGCTGTTGTTTAAAGCGGCGCTTTTCCGCGTGCGGGTCGTGCGTTGCCCGTTACGGCGTGGCAGAGCCCGCTCGGCTCTTCTCTCGGGAGTTGAGCCTTTCCGGCCTCCGATGCTGCTGGGGTCTTTAGGCACCGTGGTGTCACAGAGCCATGCTGTCTGCGGGTTTGTTAGGTGTTGGGTCAAGTTATACCTCTTATAGGGGAGAAACTGCCGCTGGAGGGTGGTGAAGTGCTTCACTGTGCCAGAGGTGAAAGTGTCTTGTTCTCATTTCTTTTATCTCTGATTTGAGGTCTGCGCCCTATAGAATGGGTATACACTTGGTATTAAATAGGCAGTGCCTGTCTTTGCTTAAGAGTTAGCTGCTCCCTGGTGAATGAGCATCTTGTGAGCATTTCCCTGGTAGTGGGAAGGTAGGATGGGGCTTGGAGCAGCCTGATCTAGTGGAAGGTGTCCCTGCCTGTGGCAGGGGGTTGGAACTGGAGGAGCTTTGAGGTCCCTTCCAACCCAAACCACTCTGATTCTGTGATCTTCCTTTATCAGATGATCTAGTGATGGAAAATATCAGCGGTGAAACAAGAGGCATCCAAATACATTAAAGTCACTAAAGACCTGTTGTCGCTAATATAAGCCTTGTAAAGCAGGCAAATGTGAGTGATTTAGGGCTGGGAGGCTTGATTCTCAGGTTGATAGCCTGAGAATTAAATTCTCCACTGAACTGGAAATGAAATACTACATCTTCCTCCTATAAGGTCAGCTATGTGCAGTATTGTCCTGGGTGAGGATCACCCAGCAGAGCCAAGTGTGCATGGTGTGGTGGGAAGTATAGTGTCCTTTCTGGTTGCTGTGTAGGCTGCATGTGTTGCAGCTGCCAAGGAGGCTATGAATGGGAAGGTTAAGAAGGAATGTTTTCAGAGGTGGTAGCTGAAAACACTTGTAGCTTAAGTTGAAAGTCACGGAGGACACTTGTGTTCTTTAGTGATTTGAAGGATTTAATGGAAATACAGTGGGTTTACCATGAAAATACACTTTAATGTACTTGAAGCGCCTGAGGGCAGCTTCTGGCAGGCTGGATGTCAGGTTTATGCTGTGTGGGAGCATTAAGGATTGAGTTTGAAGAACCCCTTGATTTGTCCTGATTTCATCTTGTGAATCACAGGTTTGGTTTTGTGCCTGCTGGTTCTGATGTGACCCACAGCAGCAGAGTTTGTAATGCCGCAGCTCATGTGCAAGGACCGAAGTTACTTCCCCAGGAACATTTTTACCTTACTGTATACTTGATCTTGGATTTGACTCTCTTTGGAGGAAGTGACAGGTCAAATGAGCTGCTCCAAAATTAAAAGCTGGAAGAGGACAGGAATGAAATAACAGCTGCTCTCTGAATCTTGCTTGAGAAGCGTTTCATGCACTGTGCTGTTACATGTTAGGAAGCTATACAGTTGGGCTTTTAACAGCTCTTGGTAGGCAAGAGTTAATTGGCTTAAGTTCGACTAGACTGACCTTGGCAGCTGCAGTCTTCACAAGTACTTGGGGCAGAAGGAGGTGAGGCCTCAGTTTGTAGCTGTCAGGAAGCACCTGGCCACAGCAGAAACCTGTAATGTTAAGTGTATTAATACCAGTAGGAGTTGGGTTAACTGTAGAACATGCGTATCTACATACTTCAAAACACAAGCTTCTTAACCACAACATCTTGTCAACTGTGACAAGACTCCTTAAAAAGTGCAGAAGTTCAGGTGAGGCTGTGACCAGCTCTGGCCAGTGAGGTTCTCAAGTCCTTAGTATAACACTGACATAATACACATGTGGCAGCTCTTAGAAGCTTGTTTTTTTTCTCCACAAATGAGCAAAAGGTTGGGGCAAATATAAATATTTTCCCAAAGGTAGTTTAAGAAGGGTGAAGAGTTGTATACAAAGACTGCAGTGCAGATTGAATAGTTGTTACCTGACTTTGCAGCTGGAATTCTGTCCAGGATGCTGAACTGCTGTAGCTTTTTGCAGGAGTAAGGTGTACTTGGTCTTTATCCCAAGAGTGGTAGATGCTGGATGGTTGAGAAAGCAAAAATTTCTATGATAAGGAGGAAATCTCTCTGGCATAATTAAAGTGCTTTCAGTGGGCTAGATGTCTAAGCCCTGAGACTAATAGCTGAGGGTCTTCCAGTTGGAGAGAGCAGTTTGAGCTTTATGTGTAATGAAACAAGTTCAAAGCTTAGCTTTCAGAAGTGTTTTGTGCTTACAGCTCCTGTGTCTTCAGCTGGTGCTGCAGATGATCTTAAACTTAGCTAAAGCTTAATGTCATCTTCATTGATAATTTCCCTTTGATACAAACTGCTTTGCTTATGTACTGAAGGCTACCTCACCAAAAAAAGGACAGTGACACATCAGTGTTTTGTCTGCATCAGTAGAGAATCTGTGCATCATTTCAGCTGAAAGGCTTCCTGATAATTACATGTACATAGAATTATTTCTGTTTATTTGTGTCTGTGTGTAGACAGAAAAGCAGAGCATAGAATATATCTAGGAATCATACAGAAAAGTCTAAAAAAGGTCTTAACTTGTCTTTTTTGTATATATTTCACCTCCCTACAGTTTCTTTGGAGAAGAAAAATCTTAAGATGGCAGGCAAAGGAAGTAAGACAGACTGCATGTCATGCAGTGTACTGAACTGGGAGCAGGTCAGCCGTCTTCATGAGGTTCTTACAGAGGTGGTTCCGATCCATGGCCGAGGTAACTTCCCAACACTGAAGATCACTCTGAAGGACATTGTTCAGACAGTTCGGAGTAGGCTGAGTGAAGCAGGCATTGTGGTACATGATGTCCGTCTGAATGGCTCTGCAGCTGGTCATGTCCTAGTCAAGGATAATGGGCTGGGATGCAAGGACCTGGATCTCATTTTTCAAGTTTCTCTTCCAAGTGAGGCAGAGTTTCAGTTAGTTCGAGATGTGGTGTTGCGATCCCTCTTGAATTTCTTGCCAGAAGGAGTAAGCAAGCTGAAAATCAGTTCAGTAACACTGAAGGAAGCCTACATCCAGAAGCTAGTCAAAGTGTACACAGAATCTGACCGTTGGAGCTTGATATCACTTTCTAACAAACATGGTAGGAATGTGGAACTGAAGTTTGTAGACTGTATACGACGACAGTTTGAATTCAGTGTGGACTCCTTCCAAATCATATTAGACTCCCTGCTCTTTTACTACGACTACTCTGAAACCCCCATGTCAGAGCACTTCCATCCAACTGTAATTGGGGAGAGTATGTATGGAGACTTTGAAGCAGCTTTTGATCACCTCCAGAACAAGCTGATAGCTACCAAAAATCCTGAAGAGATCCGTGGTGGTGGGCTTCTTAAGTATAGTAACCTTTTAGTGCGAGACTTCAGGCCCATGGATAAGGATGAGATCAAAACATTAGAACGCTACATGTGCTCCCGATTCTTCATAGACTTCCCAGACATTCTGGATCAGCAGCGTAAACTAGAGACCTACCTCCAGAACCACTTCTCCAAAGAAGAGAGGAGCAAATATGACTACCTCATGATTCTGCGCAGGGTGGTGAATGAGAGCACAGTCTGTCTCATGGGACATGAACGAAGGCAGACTCTCAACTTGATTTCTCTGCTAGCACTCAAAGTGCTGGCAGAACAAAACATCATCCCTAATGCCACTAATGTTACCTGTTACTACCAGCCAGCACCTTATGTTAGTGACGTAAACTTCAGCAACTACTACCTTGCAAGTGCTCCTGTGCCATACAGCCAGTCGTATCCCACTTGGCTGCCTTGCAATTGATTGCTTGAGTGTTCTTGAATGGAGGCTACTGAAGGCCAAGATGCTGAGTGTATATAGACAAGTAATTGTTAGAGGTTTTTCTAATGGAAACATGACTGCATTGGACTGTCCATTTCCTGGTGTGTGATAGAAATATGCAACCAGGTGACCTGCTATCACTATATATCTGCAATTTCTGAGAAGCCTTATTACCTCTTCATTAGGAGAAGAGAATCGACAGCCAAGTATTAAGAGGAGTAGTTACAAAACTCTGTACTAGTTCTGGAAGTGGCTGTTAACATATGATCTAAGTGGAGTATTCAGTAAACTGGGCTAGTTAATCGTAAGATGTCTTGAGCAGCGAAGAAGCCACTTCTGGAGTAGCAGCAAAACTGTTTTCTGTTGCCTAACCTCATTATTCTATACTTCCTCAGTTAAAGTTCTGGCCAACTTTCTATTGAACTAATTGTGCAAGAGTGTCTCGTGTCGTGCTTGGGCTGCTTCTACTTCCTGGCTGTGTAGAACGGGTAACTGTTTGTTTTGTAAAGGACCTAAATGTTGTTTCTCATAGTACCTAGGCATACATGGTCCTGTGTCAAGTTCAAGATTAGTTTATTGGAAGTCGAAGATGGATTAGTAAGTCTGTCTTCAAAGCATAAACTGGCTGAGTTTTTCTTGAGTGCATAAATTTGGAAGGTGGCATTTCTAAACATGCACCAAAATACAACCTAAAACTTGGTAATGTGGGAAATCCTTGAAATGAGGAGTTGAAGCCTTAGATAGAATTGGAACCACAGCTTGATTGGTTGAATCCAGGCTCAAGATAAAGCCTTTCTGAATGCATCCTTCAAAACCATGTTTGTCACAGCTGGAAAGTAGCACAGCTCTTGCATTTAAGTTTGCCCCAACTTTCTTCTTCACAGGTCCACAGCAAGCAAAAAAAGAAAAGCCACCACCAAAAAACCCAAGCCACTAAGTTGCAGGATGATGTGTACTCCTGCCACAGCACAAATTCCTAAAGTGCCTCTAAAATAAAGTTCTTATTGTACAACTTCAGGCAGGTCCTGAAGGCTTGTCTTTCTGCCGGCATTTAGGGGTTGAGCTTTGTGGTTTATCACTGTCAACTGGTTACGGTATGTGATGGTATTTTGAGTGGTTAACGTAAAATTCTTCTTCTTTATTGGTCTTAACCTTCACTTGAAGAGGTATATAAATCCTCAAAAGAGTTCTTCACAGAAGCTGTATGTGTTGAAAGCCTATTCCAGTTTTCAGAATATCCTCTAGAAGAGTATGTACTCCCTTGGAGGGGTAGGGGGCTGACCTTCCTAAAGGGTGTGTGCTGAACTTGCTGCTTTGAAACTCCTGTGCTTTATAAAGAAGGTTAAAAATACCCCAGTTAATGTATATAGTGGTATTAAACTGGTATATTAACTGGATGATTTTCACTGAATTGCAATAGTAAAATACATGTAGCAAATGATCTTGAGTTTTCTTTGCTTACCAGAGAAATAGACTAAAAAGGCAAATATAAGAGCTATTTAATACGTATTGGTGCAATGTTCAAGAATACCTGTTTGCTAAACCTTTTTTATGACTTCTAGCTGTTTCTGCAAGCTTGTGAGACCAAAGTGGCTGATCAAACAGATGATTTAAGATGAGAAGGTAAACCAGACAGCAGGTGAAACACCAAGGTACGGTGGTTGTTCAGGGTGGAAAACAGTAGCAGTGCAGCACTTAAATGGCAGTAAAAAACCCTGCCTGTTCCTTATAGGACCAAAAACTTCTAGTTACATTGCAAGTTCTTTCACTTTTCAGAACTACTTCATAAAGATTGCCTCCTTAGAGCAGTGAGGTTGCTCTTCTGTTCAGACTTCTTAATTTAGTTTAGGAAGTTGGGGAGGGATGTAGCAGAGTATGCTTTAGCTTAATCTTTTTTTTTTCCAACAGTCTTGTAAGCAACTTCAATGGCAAATTGACAAATAATTTGGTGTCCTCTGTGTAGTGTTGGGTTTGTTTGGGGTGGGGTTTTTGTTTTGGTTTGGTTTTGTTGTTGGTTTTTTTTTTCCTGTTAGAGGCTTCCTGAGTAGTCAGCTAAAGGAGCTAAACTCAAATGTGAACCCAGCCTTTTTTATTAACTGTGGATTGGACTTGGTGTAGCTTACAGACAACACACCTCTCACCCAAGGCTTAGACTATTTGGAAGGCTTTTTTAAAGCTAGCATGATGCCAGTGTTGTCACATGCGTTAAACTTAGTGCAGGCTTACTGCTGGAATGCAAACCTAGGCATGAGTAACTTTGGCATGCAAGGCAATACTTGGCCTAGTATAAAGTGTTGCTAGAAAGAAGGAACTTTTTTTTCTTAGGACTCTGTAATTGCTATCATCCTTTAAATAAGGTGTTTTTAAAGCCAGCCTGAGCTATATCCATGGAAGAAGTAAACCATTGCCTAGAGGCAATGTTTGATTCGCATATCAAATAGCCTAGATTATGTATCTGTCTTGTTGTGGCTGGTTTTTAGAAACTGTTCCTGTACATCAGCTCATGTGGAAGAAGGGGTCAGAGACTCAGGAGTCCTCACAAGCTTCAAACAGACTTGTTTTGCTAGTCTTCAAATGCCTTGGTGGCTGAATGTCTGGCCAGGTGTATCCACTGGAAGAGGAAGTGCTAGAAAAAGGGCTCTAATGAATCCCTACTGAGATAGAGCTATGGAGAATTTAAGCTTTCTGCCATAAAATTCTACTTTTGCTAAGGTAACTTGTTGTTGAGGTCTCTAAGGAAGCTTTATGTTGAGTGGCTGCTTACTGAACAGCTGACTTTGTTTAAGCTTTGCAGGACTGCTGTGCTCCCTGTTTCTGGCATATTGGAAACATAAATGCTTTGTAGCCTGGATGCTAGATGTTAAGTGCTTGAATAGTTAAAACTGTATCTGGAAGCTACACACCACTGCATTGGCCCTGCTGTATAAGGGATTGCTGGGATATGGTCTCATAGCCTTCAAAATAATCCTGGTTTGGCATGTAAAGCTGGAGTACTCGGTAGCTGTTCATCATTGTGTTGCAACCAGGCTACCCCTTTCTGTTTCAAGTTGTCCTAGCAACTTTGTGTTGCATGTGGCAGTGGCTTAATTTGGTGTGTGCTAGCGGGTTTGTGTTCAGGTCTATGGTGGTCCCTGTAGCAAGGAGTAACATGAGAATGAGCACTAGGTAAGTTAAAAGTGATGACCCTAGGCCAAGTCTAGGCTGCCTGCTTAATTCAGTCTCCCTTTAGTACTTGATGATGCCTCTGCAAACCTGCTCTTTAGTCTGTAGACTGCTACGCTTATTGCATTCCCTCTGGCAGTGATATCAAAACAAAGCTGTAGTAACACTAGAATGCAAGTCTAGTATCAGTGCATCATTCCTCAGGACTAGGCTTCTGATAAACTAGACAGTGTAGTTTAAAATAGCTATTTTCTTCCTGTAGTTTATAAGCTCTGCTGGGCTAAGCCAGTCTGAGGTTAAGCATCTGTGGTCACTATTTATTGCCAAGCTCCCGCTTAACTTAGAGTTTACTGGTATGACTTCTTCATTGTAAGAGATTAATCTTTTTATTTGATAAAGATGCTGCCAAGGAGACCTAGTAGTAGACTGGATGTTAGTCACTTCGGTAAAATCCCTGTGCTGCTGATCCATGGTAACTCTGAAAAGTTGTAAGGGAAAGCATACTTCATGCTCACTGAGCTCAAGATTGAATTGTTGCTGTGTTTGTCCTTAGCTAGTTCAGTCAATCACTAAGATGGAGGTTGAAGACTCCTGCTTGCTTTCAAGTAACTGTTTTTTTTTTAAAGATCCTCACACTTTAACATTCATAATCCTGTCTACAGAACAGTAGGTAGTATTTAAATCTAGTCCAAACACCTGAAGCTTTTTATTGAAACTTAAAGACCCATATCTTGGGATTGAGTTCTGGGGTTAAGCATTTGGTATGTCTTGTGCCTAGGCTTTATGGGCTTCTGATCACTAGAATAACTACTAATGTTGGTAGTGATCTCTGCTTATTGCTATATGAGTGCTTGGGAAAAGGCCTCACAGAAGAGAACTTGGACAAATTGCTTCAATTTTAAGCTGTCAGTGTACTGATGAGACTGTTTTTACTACTCCTCTCAACTCATTCAGTCAGGTTGCCGTAATTGTTGAGCACAGGAATAAGCAATAAATTGACCATAGTCACTGGCAGCTTGGTCAAATTTGGGTATTGGGAGAGCCAGATGGATTGTTATACTTGTAGTCTTTGCCATCTAAGTCTTAACCATTTGTTAAACTTGAACTATATTTATGTTCTTTAATTTCAATCAAACTAGTTATAAGGTGGGATGCTGGGCTGTAGTTGTAGGAGCTTTGGGGAGAATGGTTGGAGCACTCTGTTTTTTCTCAGAATGTGATTTGCTGAAGGATCTGGATTGGGCTTGTCTCTGAAATTGCACTTTCTGTTAAAATTTAGAAGGCCTTTTTTTTTCTATGTTTATCTTTGTTTTTTAACTATTAAAAGAAGTCAGCTCTGGGAAAATCCTTCTCATACCTCTTTGGAAGAAATTAGTTGGGGTTTTTTGGGTTGGGGGTTTTTTTGGCTTTTTTTTTTGTTTGTTTTTAAGCTGGCAAAACAAGGTACTAGAAATACTTGGGATTTGTGATGAGCCCAAATGTGAGATTGATCACAGGAACTTTGTCTACTGTTTTGCACTGTGGTGTTCACTTTCGATTCTTGGAATTTGGGGTTTGGACCTTGATGATTCTGAAATTCTTGTGCAAATAAACTTATGCTAAACATTGCTTGCCTCAAGTAATTCTTGCATCTAATTTAATGCTGACAAAATATTTGGGGAGCTTATTGGCCTGTGTGTGTAGATATGCTGGGGGGGAAGGAAGAAATAGTGATGGGATAACATAGTGATGCTTGAGTTTAGATGTTATTCAAGGTACTCTTTTTCTTCATGAATGTACACATTTGCCTCAGCTTACTGAAGATTAGTCAGTGAGACATCTGTCTTTCACTTGCATTATAGTGGCATATTTTAGTCCATTTTTGCACTGACCATTATCTGACCTCAGTTTGTGTTTAGGACTGTGCCTCAAAATGTTTTAGGCCTGTTAGTGTCTGGTCTGAGCTAGAGCCTGCCAGCCTGTTCTGTGATGCACTCCATATACTACTCCAAGTCAGGGGCTCCTTCAGACCTCAACTTGTGAGCCAGGCAGCTGAGACATAAAGTCAGCAGTTGTTCTTCAGGCTAGCTTGCAGGTTGAAAGTCTGTGCTTTCACTGTCTGAAGAACTGATGCTTCTCCTAGGAGTGTGTGGCAGTCTACTTGCTGTTCCTTCTGCTCTAGGATTGAAAATAACTGTACTGTTATTTCCTCTCCAGAGCTCAGACAAGCTCTAGCCTCTCAGTTAAGTAATGCTGGAGAAATTCTGGTCTTCAGGGCCTTTTAACACCTGCAGTGGAAACTTCTGTGGAGATCAGCAGAGGCAGTGTGATCCCATGGAAGTAATTGTGAAGCTTGTCTAGTCCTTTTTCAAAGTGTAACTGCTTCTCTCTGAACTTAAATGGAGAGCTGATAATACAGCTGGGCAACATAAGCCATCTGCTTGTCACCTGAAACTTCTTCACCTCAACTACTGGGTTTATGTCATCATAAAAGCTTCAGAGTTATTTTGGGTAACATCCTTAAGTTTCTAGAATACCAAACTTAACTTTGCAGGGTCAGATACTGAAACAGAGAAAGAGCTATGCTTAAGCAAGTGGTGGTATGTACTCTTTCAATTCTCTAGGGAATGTACATAATGGTAAAAATTGAGAAGAAGAAGAAAGCTGTTCTTGCTCTTTTGCTGTTGTGTTGGTGAAAATGCAATTACAAGTGTTCTGTCCTGTTGCAGTTCTAGAACCTGGCCTTTTCCATGCTGTGGGAATATGAGCTCAGTCTTGTGATGGGGTGGGAGAGGCATTAGACAAATGTTGTTCTAAATTGTTGCTATTGTTCAGGCAGATATACTTATTTCCTTCCTTCCATGATGGAGTAGTTAATACTTTTGAAATTGGAGTATTCAGTGTCCTTTCCGGAGTAGATGCTCCTGTGAGAGAAACAAACACTTTCCTTTGTATGCCTGCTTATTTTGAATACTGCTTGTTACATATCAGTATAGCTAGTTCACTAATACACCAAATAATCAAAGTTACTATTTTCAACAATAAAATAGCATTTGTATTTCTCCAGCAACTTAAAATGGAGGTATATCAAAAAGTGTAACACACCACCTTGCTGTGGGTGTTAGACATAGTGGTTCTGCTTTACTGTAGTAGCAGTGCTGCAATCTGTTCTGCTTTGTCTCAACGAGAGAAAGATGAGCTCCATATCCTATAAGCAAGACTGCCTGGTGAAGGGAGTAGTTAACCTGCCAAGCCTGAGTAATTTTCCTAGTAGGAAAGAGTTGAGTCATATTGCTGGAAAAAAGAGAGTCTTGCCAAGAACTGTGGAAAGCAGCTGCTAGATCCTAAACTGGTAGTTCACATGTACATTAAGGAAAGCTATACTGCCTTCCCCAGTATTACCCACTGACTCTCAGCTGAAGAGAAGGACTGACCTTAGAGCAGCCCTTCAGTTCTTGAGAGGCCTATAAGAAAGCTGAGGAGAGATTTTTTTTTTTAGCAGAGCCTGTTGTGACAGGATGAGGGGTGATGGTTTTAAACTACAAGAGGCGAGATTCAAGCTGAATGTGAGGAAAAAGTTCTTTACAATGAGGGTGGTAAAACTGGCACAGGTTGCCCAGAGAGATGGTGGATACTCCATCCCTGGAGACATTCAAGGCCAGGCTGGATGTGGTTCTGGGCAACCTGATCTAATTAAGGATATTCCTGTTCATTGCAGTGGGGGTGGAATAGATGAGTTTTGAAGGTCCCTTCCAACCCAAGTTGTGATATGATTCTATCCAGCAAGGCAAGTCTTCTGAGTGTGTTGGATTTGTGGCACAGGCTGGTCCCTTTGTGGATGTGCTTCTCACTTCAGAGTTGATCATCCACCTGCAACAATTCTCTTTTCCACCCCCTTTCTCTCTTATTCTGAAAGGTATATTTTGTGCCTCCCAGAAAGTTATTCAGTCTTGCCCTAAAGTGCTCAATAGTGGCAATTCATCATGTACTTGGAGAACCTGTTAGAATATTTGATCATGGTCATTACTGAGAAATTCATTTGCATTTCCATATTGGTGTTTGAATTTCATCTTTGACCTGCAGATTGCTGCATCCTTATCAACAAGGCTGAAAAGTTCCAGACTCTCTCCTGTTATCCACTAATCCCTTCAGCTCCTGGATGAACTGTGGAAAATGAGCTTCATGTTGTATATATTGGACTTAGAAGCTGGAAACCTTTTCCTCTGGAATTTTGTGGTTCCTGTGCTTCTCACAACCCAGTGCCAGTTGCTAGCCCAATGCTCTACGTACCACAGATAAAAAGTAGTGCTAAGATTGCTTCTCAACCTTTTGATGTCTGTGTCCTCAAACTGTGCCTGTGCTTTTTACCATGGCATTGTGGCATGCTAAGTGCTTGTGCTGAGTCAGTTATTTGTGGTGATTTCAAAGTTCATCTGCTGCTTCTCAAAGCAGCCTCTCCCATCTGATGTCGACATCATCTGTGCTCCCGGTTGCCACATGGAGTATTTTGCACTTGGTGGCATTAGAAAAACATTTTGTCCAAATCCTACGGGTAAATAGTTGCAATGTAAATGGACAGAGAAGCTCCTCTTCTTAATTATCTACTGCCTTACTGACTTAAGTGTTGCATGGTGCCTGGAGATGACAGAAGTGCTCACAGGTTTG